ACTTTTTTTTTTTTTTTTTTGAAGTTAAACTTATAGTACCGATGCAGACACAAATAGCTATTTGAACTACAAATTTGCTCAGCAATCAAATACCAAGTAAAGGTGGCATAACAAGACGACAAAGGACAGTTCGCAGAACAGTTGGATCTGTTATCCATGGTCCACGGAAGTTGGTTGCACCACCCATCCAGTACGGAATTTGTACCCCAAATGGACCGTATGGACTTAATAGGCCACCAACTGGAATTGGGATACCGCCAAATAAACAACTGGTATCAAAGCCACCGTTTAGGGACAGAAGAGGTCGATTGAGACGATTATTACAACAGCAGCAACAACCTCCTCCACCCAAGATGAATCCATTGGCAACATTGGTGATCAAAAATGATAAAGATATAAATTGAAGCACTTTGACTGCCTGCATTGCTGCTAAAAAAAATTTAAAACTAGAGAAGCATAGTTATTTTTGACCTAAGTTTTTTATATTTATCAATTATTTGTATAACTCTGATTAGTTTGGTTTACAAAACTTTGATGAAATTTATAAATATGGTTGTTTGGCAAACAAAAATATCAGGTGTAGTTTCTTCAGCTAATGAAAATACGTTTCAAATATTTGTGACAATTCTTAAAAACAATAATAAATTTTTCTATCAATTTTAACAACTCTGTTTTACGTCTTTTGTTTATCTTCATTGTATAAATAAGTATTGTTTTATCAGAATGATAGCAAAGCATTTTGAACAAACAATTAATTGAACATATTTTCTCTTCTATTTCAATGTTTTTTGTAAATAAAACAATGCATAAATAAAGACATAAGTTAGTCGAGAAGAAATTAGAAAAAAAAAAGAAAAAAAGACAAAAAAAAAATTGCACCAAAATTTTTTCTGAAGTTGAAGACTTTTGGAGGGTATATGAAGCTAAGGCAAGATGAGTGTGAAGTGAATTTTAAACGAATCTTTATAAAGCTTTGTAGAACAGGTTACTGGACACACTAATGTCTTGCAAAATATCTAAGGAAAGTAGTTTTTTTTTTTTAAACAACAAACATTCTGTTAAATCCTGTTGTACAAATAATATTTCCAGTTCGGTTAAGGGAGCAATACCTCAATGTATTCAACTATATTTTTACCTTACCAAACGCTAACCCTGAAAGCTGTAACTGCTAAACAGCAGATAAACATCTGCTCAGCAAGTAAAAAGACATTTAAGTAGCTCTGTAGACAGATTTTTTTCTTCATACAGTTAAAGAGAGGGGGAAGAGGGGGAGACAGAAGAGCTCATGAAGCAAAGAAATGACCACAATTTTTTCATTACCTTAAGTTGTACTACAAAACTAGCTTTTAAAACGATAGAACTTCAAAATGTGAGTTTAAAAGAAAAAAAAAACTGAAGCAGTTATGCTGTTAAATGTGCCAACAGTCACCATATATGATGGCAAAAATTTAGCGCAACAGTATGGAGAGGATAAGTAAGGTATCGGTAAAGCTTCATATGTAGCAGGAGTAAACTGAACAAACCGATAGATGCTTGAAACAAAAAAAAAGATGATTTATTCTTTAAAAAAAAAATCTTTAAATACAAAACTGGTAAAGTATAAGAGTTTCTATTAAGTGGTAAAAAAAAAAAAACAAAACAATCTCTTCTTTTAAGGCTTCTAGTAGAAAACTGCAGAATCCAGTTATCACGATGTTATGTCAGATGACAGTTAAACAGTTTTTAAAATAAACTTTTAAGCGGTATCTGTAGTTGTTGAAAAGTATATCGAAAACTGGTAAAGATAATAATTTTGTGAGTATATGTATGTTCTTTGTTTTGACAAAAATTTTTTTTGAAATAAAAATTTATGAAAACATATAAATACAACTATGGCAACAATTGTAACAAAAAAAAATAGCTTTCTTGTCAAACAAGAAAGGAGTCTTTGTTGTCTGATAAAAGTTCCGACCTTCTGTATCTGTTGATCTATTGTACAATACCGATGATGTTCGGTATGTATTAATACATCGGCAGGTATGTACTTTTGTATTTTCTGGTCTGTCTGAAAAAGCATATGTAGAAATGTATGTTTATTTTAGATATTCTCAATTAAAAATGTAAACAAAGAAGTTCTTCTTTTTTTTTTCTTGATGTTGATGTTGTTATGATGTTTTTTTTTTGGTTAAAAACTGATGACAAAAATTTTGCTTGTCCTGTTTTTGTTAAGACTGTAGGATTCAGCACAGTGCCAAACGGTGAAAGGCTGGTTTTTGTTGTCAAAACTACAAACTGACCACAGCCTTACATGTAAAACCACTTTGACCAGTAAAAAAAGGTCCATAATGTATTTGTGCGTCTGTTTTAGCTGTGGAACGACTACAGCGACAACGTTTGCAACAGGTAATATATAAATTTTTTTTCCTTAAATTATTTTAATAATCAGTAAAATTAAGTTATCATTTTTCTGCTAATGGAATATTTGGATTTGGTACTCTAAAAATAACGTTTAACAAAAAGTTGCAATTACCTCTTGCCGCATTAGCAGCAGTGAAAAAAAAGTTACGAGTTGAAGAACACAGAACTGAATTATTCAAATTTTGCTGAGAATAATCAGTTTTAATTTTGTGCAGTTGACATTTATTTAATCAAACAAACTCTACAGATATGTTATTGAAAATATCACTTTTTAACCAAAAAAACTGCAGTTTTTTTTTAACTTTTAAGTTCTAATTTTGGCAAAAAAAAAAAGGAAGAGAATTTTAGACAACATATTGGTCGACATTTTTGTTTAGCTTTCTTCTGTCTTTATAAACAATCTGTTTTTAATTTAATAAAAGGCTTATGAATAAGAATTGTTGAAAAAAGGCAGAAGTAATTAACAAACTGTTAAAAGGTCAACATAATATAACAGAAACCAATGCTTCAATAATTGTATAAATTAAGATCGAAATTAAGTAGCAATTTATGAAAGATATTTCTAGAAAAATTTCAGTACAATTAAGTTTTACGACTTTTGTCTTTGAAAACTTTACAAAATCTGTAATAACTTTATAAATTTTTACAGTTTTTAGGTTGAGAAATTTTGAAATGCAAGAGAAACGGTACTTCGGCAGCTGCTATTCATCCGACCCGTGCGGTGATTGAGGAGGAACAACGTCCATAAATTTGGTACACAACTTTCCTTCTTCACAACTGTATTTAAATTATGTAACTAACAGACCTTTTCTTTTTTGCTGACAAACTAAACTCAGATATAACCTACTTTCCTGTGCAGAAGTCAATTTTCGGAAACTTTTGAATCATCTCGAAACTGTCAACAGACTCATGCTTAAATTTCTGATCGTAAATCAATTAAAAGTTTCTTAGCATTAACCATTCAAAAGAAAAAGTAAAACAGCTTTTGCAGCAGATTTTTGCGCTGTTAGCAGATTATTTTGCCAAAAACTGTCATAAAATTTTCTTCTTATTTTGTTCACTAATTTCATTTTTATCAAAGCAAAAAAAGTTTGGTATATTTATTTATTAACCTTAATAGCCTTTAGCGAGTATACTGTAAAATTACATATATTTGAGATGACTTTTATCGGTTGCTATTTAAACCTTATCATATACATTTGATAAATTGTTGCGAATTTGAACACTAAAACTCAAACGCTTTAAAGTAATCAAAAAAGTGAAATTAAATTGAAAAATTCTTGGCACATCTTTTTTAACTGTAATCAGAATTGTAAGTTTCAAATAACTAAAACTGGAAAAAATTTATTTATTTTATTATGGAAATTTAACACCCACAGTGACAGTGCTTCAACTATTTAAAAATTCAAATGCCTTTTTTTTTTCGCACTTTCGCACTCATTTGCAGTGTGTAATTTTACCAACTAAGCTTTGTTGTTGTTGTTATTAGTGTTTAAATATGACACAGTAACTTATAATCTAACAGCTAAGTTTGATAAAAAATAAGTTTAAGGAAACATTTCTAAGTTCTTATTTTGCTTTACATAAATCACCTAACAGTCAGAAAAGCAGGGAAAAAAAAAAAGAAGCAAATCGTTTAGCTTTTATTTGACCTATACATATAAACGTCGTGTGCACGCTATTAAAATTTAGTACAAAAAAGACAAAAAAATAAAGTCTTTGTGGAATTTTTAGAGAAAAAAAAA